GGTTTGGGAGCGAATGGAGCTTTTTTTTTTTTTGTTTTTATGAAAATTTGGAAGGAGAAGGGAAGGGAAGAAACGAGCAATATTTCAACCAACCTTCCAAGGATCTTGGAGACGCAGCCATTGCTAACCTGCAGTATCCTGGAGATGTCGCAGGGCCTCGCGCCGGAATGAGCCAACTCGACGATCTTTTGCCTGGTCGAGTCTGGAAGCGGTCTACCGCCGACGAACACACCCCCGAGCTGATTCACGCCACTGTGACCTGTGCGTGGAATCAGACATACATGCATGTTAAATATCAACAGATCTCGTTCGTTACTTAAGAGTCGAGAATTTTTAGTTATCGAACTTTTTGCCAGATTTTATCGACTCGATTCGATTTCCAAAAATTTTTCAAAGAAATATATCAGTGATTCTAAATTTTACCGATACTTAGTTAAATTGGTCAATTAAAGATACTAGATCTTTTAATATCTGAGAAATTCGTTATTATTTCGACAGATTTATTTCGAAAGATTTTTAAGATATCTAATTAAAAATATATTAGTGATTCTAGGCCAGTGATACTTGAAAGGTGAAATTGGTCAACTGAAGATATTTCAAAAAATTTTCAAGATATCTAATATCTATAGTGATTCTAAATTTTAGGCCAGTGATACTTGAAAAGTGAAATTGGCCAACTGAAAATACTTCAAAATATTTTCAAGGCATCTAATATTAGTGATTCTAAATTTTAGACCAGTGATACTTGAAAAGTGAAATTGGCCAACTGAAAATACTTCAAAAAATTTTCAAGGTACCTAATATTAGTGATTCTAAATTTTAGACTAGTGATACTTGAAAAGTGAAATTGGCCAACTGAAAATACTTCAAAAAATTTTCAAGGTACCTAATATTAGTGATTCTAAATTTTAGACTAGTGATACTTGAAAAGTGAAATTGGCCAACTGAAAATACTTCAAAAAATTTTCAAGGTACCTAATATTAGTGATTCTAAATTTTAGACTAGTGATACTTGAAAAGTGAAATTGGCCAACTGAAAATACTTCAAAAAATTTTCAAGGTACCTAATATTAGTGATTCTAAATTTTAGGCCAGCGATATACACTATACTTAAAAAGTCAAATTAGCCAACTAAAGATTTTCTAATATCTGAGAAATTTGTTACGATTTATTTCGAAAGATTTTCAAGATATCTAATATTAATGATTCTAAATTTTAGGCCAGTGAAAAGTGAAATTGGCCAATTAAAGATACTTCAAAAAATTTTCAAGGTATCTAATATTAGTGATTCTAAATTTTAGGCCAGTGAAAAGTGAAATTGGCCAACTAAAGATATTTCAAAAAATTTTCAAGGTATCTAATATTAGTGATTCTAAATTTTAGGCCAGCGATATATACTCAAATTGATCAATTAAAGATATTAGATTTTTCAATATCTGAGAAATTCGATTACGACTCATTTCGAAAGATTTTCAAGATATCTAATTAAAAATATATTAATGATTCTAAATTTTAAGCCAGCGATACTTGAAAAGTGAAATTGGCCAAGTAAAGATACTAAAGATTTTTTTAATATTCGAGAAATTCGTTATTCGATTATTTTATATTTTTGTACGCAACAATATCTTGTCGTACCATTATAGAAAATTATATATACTCTTTTTAGAATTTTTCTCAACAACGAGGAATACGTCGTAATTCACTATTTTTTTTCTTTCTTTCCTTCTTTTCACCGTTCCTCGAAACTGTCGATAGAAAAAAAGAAAAAGAAGAAGAAGAAGAAGAAAAAGGAAAGAGGAGGGGTACGTCTCCTTTCTTCTCGAAACTCTGAAAGAGGGTGAAGGTAGGGGTTGGCTGCAGGCGTTAACACGTTAGCGAATCCCGTCGTAGATAATCTTCGACTCATTGTGTCGATGACACGCACGAAACCTTCACCCAACCTTCCTCGCGAAATCTTTTATACCGTCACCCGTGAACAACACCCGTGCCACGCCCTTAATTTTTTATCCCAGGATAGACCTTTAACCAACGACAATTGTAAAAATCGAGAAATCGAGGAACGTAAGAAATCTAATTTTCAGTTTAAATTAAAATTTTTCAGAAAAAAAATTCAATGAATTCAATTCAATTCAATTATAGCAACGTTCGCAATAAAAACTCGAGAAAAATAATACGAAATGTACACACATGTTAAAAAGAAGAGGATGGAAAATGGTTGAGCAGATATTTTTTTCCGAGCGCACTTGGTCGTTGAAAGATCGGTTGGAAAAGAATTTTCCAGACAGAGTTAATTCGACACGTCGTCGTCGTCGTCGTTGTCGTCGCCGTTGCCGGCTACCCGAGTTATATAAGGGAGATTTATGAGCGTATTGCGATTGACGAAAGGGGGGGGGTCTCACGGTCGATTGACTTTCGAAAATGGGCCTGCCGCGCGCGATTCGCCGACCACCGACTCCTAGATATATATATGCCGACACGAGTGTTCCTTTTCATTCGAAAAGGACCTCTTCCCCTCCTCTCCCCGTATCTCACCGATCGAGAACGCGTAAATTGGTTAAACGTTTCGTGCACACGTTTCGCCGTATTTTATTACAAAACGAAGGGATGGCCCTGGGAAATGGATTCGGATCTTTCTCGCGAGAAACGTGTTATTTTTTTCTTTTTTTTTTTTTTTTGCTTCTCCCCTCTTAGATTAATAATAAAAGAGAAAGAAGAGATCTTGGTGTTTAATAAAATTTTTTAGAAATTTAAAAATTTCGAATTTCTAGAAATATCTTCTAGAAAGTGGATATTTAGAAATCGTAAGAAATTTGCGCAATGAAATAAAGTAATATTTTATTAAAGAAAAATCAAAATGAAAATCGAAATTATAATAAGTTTTAATAAGTGATACGATCAGATCGATCGAATGAATAATGTTCGAAAAAGTAAACATGTAAAAAGAGAAAAGAGAGAAAAAGTGTCCCCGTAAAGAAAAAGAGGGGGGACACCACCTGACGGATTCGAAGCAGCGAGGAACAAACATGGAAGGGGACAGAGAGAGAGAGAGAGAGAGGGAGAGAGAAAGAGGGGATGGGCTAATGAAGTCCTAATAAACGGAAGGCTTTAGAGTCACCACCCTTCCCACTGATATTTAATACAAACGTTACAATATCAAAACACGCGCTCAAGCTCGCAGAATGGCCACTCGAGCGCACCCCTTGGTCGCGCGCGGGGCTAATACGCCGCTGGATTATGCTCTCCTCCTTTACTTTCGACGGTATACTACCCTTTCACCCACTCTTGTAGATAAACAGAAGCGAGCGCCAAAGCTAAATCGCACGATCCAGCTAATAATCCCCCTTTTATTCCTCCTTTCCTTTCATTCCTCTTTTTTATTTGCTTATTATAGAAATTGTAAAGGATGGATGCTATTTTTTCCTTCTTCCTCCCTCTTAATTCGTTCACGCGCTTCTTCCCTCCTTATTTTTCTTTCCCTTTTTCCGATTTTCTAATGTTCCTCTCTCCCTCTCTCTCTCTTTCTCTCTCTCTCTCTCTCTCTCTCGGTTAAACAGAGATTTACAATGGGAACGTTGAAACGGAACGAGAGCAGAAACTAGCGCTCTAGAAAATACAGGCTATTTGCCCGAGTTATTATCGCTCGTTAAGGACTGGCGTTCGAAACTCGGCGTTTCGCCGTCTTCCACTATGCCCCTTCTATGAGAGAGAAAGAGAGAGAGGGAGAGAGAGAGAGAGAGAGAGAGACGCAGCGACATTTGCCCCCGTTGCGTTTTTTGTTTGTTTCCCTTTGTTACCTCGCGTAGCCCTTTTTTCCTTGATTTATGAACGCCGATGTGTTAATAACTCGGTATAATCGACTACGTGTTAGCTACGCGTAGCCTACGTTGAATATAGATAAACTTGGTTTCCTCGAAATGCAAACAATTTTGTTCGGCGCGTTTTTTTCAAATTTATATAACGTTTGTTATTATTTAAATCGTGCAACAAATTTTGCATATGTTTGAGAAAGTTCTGATCTTTTCGAATCTGTAAATTCGAAAAAATCTTCCTTCTGGCAAGAGTTGCATAGAGAGGAACGATTAACGCCATCCCGATTAACGAAAACTTCCTCCCCTGTGGCTGTTGAACGCCGACGAAAGATTCATCGTTGGCCAAGACTTTCCCTCGACATGACACCATGATAAATTACGTTCTACGTAGAATCTCGTTTAATCGATAATTGATCACCGTTCTCCTTTTGTTTTTCATGATACCCCCCGATAACGAATCAACCCATTATACCGTTACTCTACGAACGAAAAACCGAGAAAAAACCTTTCCTTGGAATTTAATCGAGGACGATGGCTCGTCCATA